ATTTTACCATGTGTCATCTAAAAATATATTATAAAAATCATGAAATAATAATTACAAACGGTGCCGAGTATTGCGCAAATCACATTATTGTCTGTTAGCAAATAACTAGTAACTTCAGAAGCAGAGGCATCCCATAATTCTCTTGTGTGAATAGATTTAAACAAATGTCTAGCGAACATGTATACAAAAATGTAGGTTTTAGATGCAATAGTTTAATGTTTGTACGTTGTGTTTTACATTTTCCCCGCCTTTTGATTTTTTACATTTTTAAAACATAGCAGGAAAAGAAAGAGAGAGAAATAATGAACAAAATAAAACACAAAAAAATGAAAGAAAGAAAAAACAGCAATGTACATTCAGCACAATTCTTCCAGAGGAGTGTTCTCCACAAAAGTGAGATAAGGTTGCCAAGTAATAAAGAATCTCTTATTATTATAACCCTTTTATAAAACATCTAAGTTCTTACTGTACGTTAAACATCACATCTTTAATCCAGTGTTTAAATTTTGGAGGTGAGAAGTCTTTCCATTTATGCAGAATTAACCTCTTTGCTAAGAGAGAGAGTAAAAAGCAATAAGCATCAAACTTGGATCTGCTTAAGTTATAATCTTGAGTAGTAATGCCAAATATTGCGGTCAAAGCAATAGTTTCACCAAGTATTATCAACAATTCAACTCCAGTATTTAGATAATTTCGGAAATGACCAAAACATGTGGTATAGGATGGCTGGAGCTTGCCTGCATCAGTCACATGTAGGATTCATATCACTATTAATCTTTGCTAGTCTGTATTGTGTTTGACATTTTGATGTTAAACGATGGCATTCTAGGAAAGATCAAGTCAGGCTGCCCAGGTGTTTGGCAGATTACCCCTTTTGTCTTTATGCACTTCCTGACCATCAGGAAGGCTCCAGAGATAAAATGTAAAAGCTACTATGAAGGCCTTTGCACTACTGTCAGGTTGATTGGATTAGAGGCTGTGTATTTGAATGACACTGTTACGCTGATGAAATCAGGGCTGGGGAAATTCCGTTACCAGTCTGATTCCTGTTTACATGGTTTGTTTAGATATGTTTCTATTTCTATGTACACCGCCCCCCTAAAATGTATATAAAAAAAGTGCA